GCAAGTAAAGCAGAGAAGCGGTCACCTCCCGGTGGCGTCCTCCTCTGGGCTTGGTTCCGTGGGTCTGTCTTGAGAACAGAGTGAGACGGGAGGCAGATCCCTCCGAGACAGCAGGTACAGGCCGGGAGAGAAGTAGACCTAAAGTGATCCACAAAGTAATTTCTAGAAATAATTGTCACCGTCTCAGTCCCGTTTGGTCTGCGGTGCTGTGACAGGTACACTCAGGCTGTGCCTTACAGGACACATTTTGGCATCCGTCTGCGTCCCCCCATCTATCACAGATTCATTATAAGCTATCAAACATCATCTGGTTGAGAGTGTGTGACTTTTCCTTAAACTGAAACTTTCTATCACCCAGATTTTCAAACTTTTTTTTTATTATATTGAAAAATTTAATTGAAAGGAAGAGGGAGGGAGAGGGAGGGAGAGAGAGAGAGGGAGGGAGGGGGGAGAGAGAGGGAGAGAGAGACTGCCTCCACGGAGAGCGTGGCGAGGACAGAGCAGGCAGCAGCAGGGCGTTGTCCTCGGAGAGACACCTGACGGTGATCCACCAGCCCTCATCACCCTTCCAGAGAGGAGAAGAGAAGCAAATAAGCGGATAGGGAAAGCAATGGGGGCGGGGGAAGTGCCAAGTCCCCAGAGCTGGAGCAGTTAGACAGGAGGGAGGACCCCCCACCCCGCCGACTCAGCGCCCGCGCCTGGGCACTCCTGCCGCTCCGCGCCGCTGTGACTTCTGGGGCGGCGGGCTCCTCAGGAAGCATTTTCTCTGCCTCCTTCAGGTCGTAGAGAGCAAATCTGTGTGGGGCCAAGACTGAGCTCACAGCTCCTGGAAGTTTAGGGTCAAGAATGCAAGTGCGTGTGCGTGTGCGTGGACCGCACAAATGTCCATGGGCATGTGTGGCTGCATAGACATGTGTGTGGACACCTGTGGGCTGTGTGGACATGTCTGTGCACAGGTGGATATGTGTGGACTGTGTGGATGTGAGTGCATGTAGATGTGTGTGGGTACATGTAGACATGTGTGGGCACATGTTGGACGTGTGAGTGCATGTGGGGTGTGTGGACTCTGAGGACATATGTGGATGCATATGAGTGGATGTGGATGGACTCCATGGACACATGTGTATGTGTGTGGACTGGGCACATGTGGACTGTGTGAACACATGTGGACGTGTGTGGGCACATGTTGGACATGTGTGTGCATGTGGGGGGTGTGGACTCTGAGGACATATGTGGACATGTATGGGTGGATGTGGATGGACTCCATGGACACATGTGTATGTGTGTGGACTGTGTGGGCACATGTGGACTGTGTGAACAAATGTAGACATGTGTGGGCACATGTTGGACGTGTGCGTGCATGTGGGGGGTGTGGACTCTGATGACATATGTGGACACGTATGGGGGATGTGGATGGACTCTGGACACATGTGGATGGACTCTGGACACATGTGGATGTATGTGGACTGTGTGGACACATGTGGATGTGTGTGGACGTGTGTGGACACATGTGGACGTGTGTGGACTGTGTGGGCACATGTGGACTGTGTGAACACATGTGGACATGTGTGGGCACATGTTGGACGTGTGTGGACACATGTGGATGTCTGTGGGCACATGTTGGATGTGTGAGTGCATGTGGGGGTTGTGGACTCTGAGGACATATGTGGACGCATATGGGTGGATGTGGCTGGACACCTGTGGGCTCTGAACTGTGTGGATGCATGAGAACACATGTAAATGCTGTCTCACAAGGCAAAGTCTGAGAAGAGCCCCAGCGCTCCTTTGCCACGCGTGGCTGCCCTTGTGAGCGGCTGGTTCTGTGGCTCCGGGACATGCCAGCTCTGCCTGAGCTCCCTGCTCTGCAACCGCTGCCCGAGGAGAGCCCCTGCTCCCCGTCTCCCGTCACTCCTCCAGCGGAACCAGCGTGAGCTGCAGGCGAGGCTGGGCGGGAGAACAGGAGTTGCGAGGCACGGGCAGCCTCTGCCTTTCTCAGCCCCAGGCCACGGACACCCTGCTTGCTTTCTTTGGATTTTCTGGCTGAAGAAAGGAGGACGCAGGGCCACCACAGCATCCACACCTTCAGACAAGGGACATCAGGAGCACAGCGGAAGTTCACATGGGGAGCAGAGGCCGCGTCCCAGCGCCGTGGCTGGCACACGGAGGCCGTGACAGTGACTGCTCCGTCCTGCGCCGCGACACTCAGCAGGGAGAGCAAAGCCGAGAGCCCCCTCCCCTCCCCCCCGCTGACACCCGTGTGTCACGGGCGCTTGCTCAGAGCAGGGCTTCCTGGGAGCTCAGGTCGCACCTGCACTGGGGCCCCCAGGGCTGGCCGGGCCTGGCGTGTCTGAAGGTGAGTCCTTGGAAAGGGGGGCAGGGCTGCTCGGAGGAGAGACAGCAGGTCACCAGCGGGCCAGCCGAGGCTTAGAGCCCGGCAGAGGTCTCACCACCACACATCCTCCAGCAGCAGACATGCGTGGCATTAGCCGGCAGCGGGTTCCTGCCACTCACTGGCACCTCCCCCCTTCCCACCAGATATGCACCCCACACACCCACCAAGGACACACCTGGCCCCGACACTACAACGCTGAGCAGCCACAGTGGCCAAGAGGCTCCGAGCCTGTGCCATTGTGCAACACGTAAAGCTGCCGCCTGCAACTCCGGCATCCCACAGGGGCACCAGTTCAAGTCCCAGCTGCTCCACTTCTTGTCCAGCTTCCTGCTAATGGCCTGGGAAAGCAGCGGAAGACAACCCTAGTACTTGGGCCCCTGCACCCACGTGGGGACCCAGATGGAGCTCCAGACTGCTGGTTTTGGCCTGGCCTAGCTCCAGCCGTTGTGGCCATTTGAGGAGTGAACCAGCAGATGGGAGGTCGCTCTCTGTCTCTATCTCTAACTGCCTTTTACATAAATAAGATCTTTAAAACAAAACAAAAGATAAGAGGCTCTGTCTGGAGTGAGGGTGCTCCCTCCGTGCCAGGTGCAGGCACGGAGGAGAAATCCCCCCCACCGAGGAGACATCAGGGACGGAGTGAACCAGCACCTGGTGGGGGAGGGGGGGGGAAGGGGGGCTGCAGCATTTGTCTGTCACTGAAGATGCGAGACGCGAGTCGAAGGAGACAGAAAATGTTCAACCCCAAAGGAGCGCATTTGCTTCATCGAAAGACTTTGTTCTCACGACCCAAGCAAGAGTCGGCTGGACAGGAGACCTGCTCCCCACCCACGGCTGTGGAGGGCCAGCGAGACGGGCAGCCCACCAAGGGCCTGCGCGGAGCCCCTCGAGAGAAACAGGGTGCCCACAGCAAGCAAGAGAGCACGGAGGAAACTCTCACCTGGATGGTCCTGGATCCTGGAGTCGGCGCCATGCACCTGCACGCAGAAGACCACAGCATGAGACACACCCGGGACACGCGGCAGCCGGCAGCGTCCCGGCCGATCCCAGGAGAGCCCCAGGACCTACCTGGAGGTTGCAGCAGAGCGGCAGCAGCCAGCAGCCCAGAGACAGCAGCCTCCTCATGGTTCCCTCGGCTCCGGGGGCCTGGGGGCGTCCCTGAGTTCCGGGCGGCTCCGGGGGCCTGGGGGCGTCCCTGAGTTCCGGGCGCCTGGGGGTGTCCCTGAGATCCGGGAGCGGCCCCTTCAGCTTTCACTTCCCTGGGAAAGGCGCCTTCTCACGGGTTCAGAAGCAGCAGGGTCGGAGTCTTCCTCAGTGTGTGCGTTGCAGCTGCCGAGAGTGCTAATGGGTGTTCCTTCCTGGTCTGCAAACTTGGAATTCCTCAGTGATCGATAAACACATGGCAGCTGGCAGGGCCCCCGCGGAACGCGATGCAGGGAGGAGAAACCCCAGTCGGCTCGCAGCCCCGGGCAGGCTGTCCCGAGCCAGCAGGCAGCCCCGGCCGTCAGCCTCTGCCGCGTATTTCAAGAGCTTCCTTGGCCCCTGTCCAGGTCTGCGACCGGACTTTCCTCTTGTGCTTGCAGTGCGGGAGAGAAGACGCCGCGCGCAGCCGTGCGCCCCGGAGCTCCTGCCCGCCCTGGGCTGGCCCTGGCTCCGGCTGAGCACGCACCGCGTCCCCTGCCCCCTGCGGGTGGAGAGCAGTGAGTGATGTCAGAGGCTCTCCTCAAACTTCGGGCTCTCCGTTCACACCCGGCCTGTCGCTGCTGCGTCTTCCTGGGTCCTAACACCAGCCTGTTAGGAACAACCGGGAAGATCTGCAGGGTCAGAAGCAGACCAAACCGATGTGTGTGTGTGAGAGAGAGAGAGAGCGAGAGAGAGGGAGGGAGGGGGAGAGAGAGACGCCTTCCAGTCGGCACCCTCAAAGTCAGCATAGATATGAAACACAAAGTGTAAATCAAACTGTGAACTCAGTTTCCACCCGCGCCCCGGGCGCCCAGAGTGAGACACCAGGAGATCTATGGGCCAAAGGGGGAATAAACACAGCGCCACGGCTGCCACACCGAGCCTCAGCCTTAACCCTTTCAGAAGTCGGGTGTGTGATGGGCCGCTTTTACGGGATGTCCCGCGTGATCACGTACCCCCACCACAGCACCCAACGTGATAGCATCCGACCTCAGCCAGCTGGGCCTCCGTTTGCCCACGACGCACAGTTTATCCGAATGACTCCACATGCAGCCTGCCCCTCCCCAGCTGCGGGTGCTTCCCATGCTCCGCCGCACCCGGCTCTCAGCACCGACACCGACACCCTCCCCCCTGCACTGGGCTGCGGGGCAGAGCACCGCGCCTCTCTGTTTCCAGCCGGGCCTCTGACAGTGTGGGTGAGAAAGAAGTGGAGCTGGGAAAATATGTAGCACTCAATAAATGGTGCCATTTCTTACGAAGAGAAAACCTCACTGGGCGAGGATCATTATAAAGCAGAAAGTAAACGCCGGCTGATACTGTTATCTCCACTGTCCTGACTTTAAATGGGAACCAAGCGTCCCGAACCCACACGCTTCCTAAAGAGGACAAGAAAATGGCTTGCATCGCCCCGGGGGAGAGAGACGCTGATGTCAGAACACAAGGTGATTATTTTTAACTTGCGCCTGCCTCCGTGGGCCCTGCAGATTCTCCGATAGCCTGGGCTGCAGCAGGTTCCCGAGGTTTCTGTGAACTCTCCCCCCACCCCCGGCACTTGCAAACCCATGGACTCCACGACCTTTATCCCGTTGCCTGGGTGTGAGCACTGGGAGGACAGTTCATGCCTTTATCTTTGCCTCCCGTCCACCGCCCACCTGCCACCTCCCTCCGACTGCCCTGGGAGGAGGCAGGCACCACAGCGCTAACTTGAGATGAATTAAACAGGTGCTAAGTCCATGCCTCTCTCACTTCCAAGACTGAGCAAAGCAGACATGGCCGTCTTTCATTCCTTGCTTGCTTTGAGAGACAGAAGGGGAAAGCGAGCTCCCGTTGGCCCGTTCACTCCCCAGATGCCCACGGCTGGGGCAGGGCCAGGCCGAAGCTGGGAAGGTCTCCCGCATGGGTGGCAGGGACCCAGGGCTGCTATCATCGCCGCTGCTTCCTGGGGCGGAGCAGTCAGGCACCCCAGTGCCTGACCCACAGGCCAAACCAACCTCCCAACACACACACACATTTTTCTAATCAATAAATTGCTATCACATAATGAGAGGCTGCACTCAGACTAGAAACTGATGCAGAAGAATTCGGCAGCCCCTGCCCCAGGTGTCTACACGCTCCCTGGGCTGCAGGTTCGTGTGCTCAGTGAGAGAGCAGTCCTTCCTGAAGCGTGGGCGGGCCTGGGTCAGGGGACTTGGGATTGGCTGTGGGCCTCCCTCGACCTCCTTGCCCTGCCTCCAGCAGGCTTCCTCAGCCCTTGTGCTGTGCGATACCCCCTGTGCTCACTTTCCCAATCGGCTCGCCTCCTGCCGGTCTCTCCCCACTGACACGACGCGCAGGGAGGCCTCGGCCTTCGCCACTCGCTCACTGTGTGTCCAGCCCATGGCACGGCCCGGTGCCTGGCCGACAGCCCGCACGCCATCGCAAGCACGGCTCAGGGACGGGAAGCGTGGCTCTGCTCCAGAAGGCACGCGGGATCCGCACTGAGCCCGCGCTGATCCAATATCAAGATGGAGCCTTAACCGTGGTGAGGCTTCCTCTTCTCTCTCTTTTTTTCTTTTTTTTCTTTCTTTTTTTTTTTTTTTGACAGGCAGAGTGGACAGTGAGAGAGAGAGAGAGACAGAGAGAAAGGTCTTCCTTTGCCGTTGGTTCACCCTCCAATGGCCGCCGCGGCCGGCGCGCTGCGGCCGGCGCACCGCGCTGATCCGATGGCAGGAGCCAGGAGCCAGGTGCCAGGTGCTTTTCCTGGTCTCCCGTGGGGTGCAGGGCCCAAGCACCTGGGCCATCCTCCACTGCACTCCCTGGCCACAGCAGAGAGCTGGCCTGGAAGAGGGGCAACCGGGACAGAATCCGGCGCCCCGAATGGGACTAGAACCCGGTGTGCCGGTGCCACTAGGCGGAGGATTAGCCTAGTGAGCCACGGCGCCGGCGAGGCTTCCTCTTCTCAATCACTGTTCACGGGCGCTGCTGAGCGGGAGGCCAGCTGCCCGCGGGCTGTAACTGAGGGCCTCACGCAGCCAGCAGCCCTCGCAGGTCGGAGGTGGCTCCTGGACGGCCTGGGCTGTGTGAAGAGCCCTGCGGAGCAGCCCAGGCTAAGGGAGTGGGGCGATGTGTTCCTACAGCCCCATCACACCACCCTCCCATGTCTCCTCCAGCCACACGGATTCCCACAGACCACGGAACCCCCTCTCGGTAGCAGCAGCAGAGCTGCATGTACCTGGCGCTTGCTTCCAGGTAGATGAACTCAGCAGAGCAGGGATTCCTGAGAACGGGCTCAGGTGCTCACAACTCACAGTGCTACAGAAAGCAGCTTATGCTGTGGCCTGGCGGGTTAAGCCTGCGCCTGCGACACCAGCATCCCTTATGGGCGCTGGTTCGAGTCCCAGCTGCTCCACTTCTGATCCCGCTCCCTGCTAACAGCCTGGGAAGGCAGCAGAGGATGGCCCAAGCCCTTGGGCCCCTGAACCCACGTGGGAGACCCGGAAGAAGCGCTGGGCTCCTGGCTTCAGATAGGCCCAGCCCTGGCCTTTGCAGGCATTTGGGGAGGGAACCAGCAAATGGAAGATCTCCGTCTGTCTGTAACTCTGCCTCTCAGATAAATAAATCTTTAAAAAAAATAGAAAGGAGCCCAGTTAGAAAATTTCGGGGTAAGTTCATTGAGGAGGTGACAGGAAGGGACTAGAGAATTCTCTTAATGGCTAAAGTAAGAGAGAACATTCTGGAAGGAAGCTATGGCCGGGGCTCAAGTTCGGGGTGCAGCATGGCGTGGCTGACAGTGGTTCCGCTGGCCCGCCCCTCGGCGTTCCCTTCGCAGAACTCCTCCTTCACCTTCGCCGACCCGGCCTGCGCTGGGACTGCCGGGTGCTGCGGCAGGCACCGGACTCAGCAGGGACTTCTAAGCCCCTCCACACTACAGGCACCGGACTCAGCAGGTCTGGGGTGGACAGTGACCCACCCCATGCCAACCAGCGTCTTCCCTGCTTTCCCTCCCCCGTGGGAAATTCGATCGTTGGAGTGGGCATTTGGTGTAGCGGTTAAGACGCCTACAGCCCACATCAGAGTGCCTGGGTTCAAGGCCTAGCTCCACTTCCATTATTGTTTTATCTATTTGACAAGCAGAGTTAGACAGTGAGAGAGAGAGTCAGAGAGAAAGGTCTTCCTTCTGTTGGTTCACTCCCCAAATGGCCGCTACGGCCAGAGCTATGCCGATCTGAAGCCAGGAGCCAGGTGCTTCTCCTGGTCTCCCATGCAGGTGCAGGGGCCAAGCACGTGGGCCATCCTCCATTGCACTCCCGGGCCATAGCAGAGAGCTGGCCTGGAAGAGGGGCAACCAGGACAGAATCCGGCACCCCGACCGGGACTAGAACCCGGGGTATCGGCACCGCAGGCGGAGGATTAGCCTAGTGAGCCGCGGCGCCAGCCCCAGCTCCACTTCTGATTCAGCCTGCTACTAAGGCAACTTGGAGGCAGCAGGTGATGGCCTACGTACATGCAGACCCAGCGGGAGTCCCAGGCTCCGGGCTTCATCCTGGCCCAGTTCTGTCAGTGCAGACGTGTGGGCAGTGAACCAGCAGATGGAAGATCTCAACCCTCCCTCTCTCTGCCTCTCAAATGTAAATATTTCAAATATGTGCCTAAGATGCTGGCATCCCAGCAGGAGAGCAGGGGTGAGAGCGAACGTGATGATGCCTCCTGTGCCCCTGGATCCTGCTCTACCTAAAGCCAGTTTCTAGAACAGACTCATGTTTTAGCTCAAACACATCTCAGGTTGATTTCTGCCCCTCGCAACCCAGGGCCCTGGTGAGTGCGAGCAATCTGGTGTTCATCGAGGCGTGAACACGATGGGCAGTGGCAGGAGGGAAGCTGGAGAGAAGCATGGACCCCGGCCACCGGTCCTGGGTCCCGCACCCCTCCGGGCACCACCTGAGACCTGCTCAGCCCACTCACTGCGCCTGTGCAGGGCAGGCAGCCGCACGCCGGCTTCCACCAGCTCTGCTCCCACCTCCATACTCCTGGGAGCCAGAGGCAGCCCCTGCCGCCTGCCGTGGCGTCTCTGTCCCCCGTCGGGGGCCCACTCAGCCTCCTGCAGGAGCCCAGACGCATCGGGAGCCCCGCCCCTGGAGGAGGTCCCGTGCCTTGCTGCATCGACGCCTGCCCGCTCCCCGCTGTCACTCCCCTGTCACCCGCCTTCCCCTGGAGTCGCCCTGCAGAGCACGGCTCCCACGCACGCGTCTGCCTCAGGCTCTGCCTTCAGAGGACGAGGGGAAGACGCGCGTGCGCCTCAGCCCCACGACCCCAGAGGCGTCCAGGAACCTGTCAGCGCCGCGAACCGCACGCACACGCGGTTCCAATGTGCCCCTGAGAAGTTTCCTGGGGGAGGACCCACAGCTTTTATCCGGTTTCAAAGAGAAGGACAAAAGTAGGAAACTGCTCGGTTGGTGATGAGCATTTCAAGCAAGAATACACGTGGTAGTCACTGCTAATCAACCCAAACCGTTCTCCCACTTCTGCCAAAATATTGTTATTTGAAAAGCAGAGTGACGGGGGGTGGGGGGAGACAGAGAGAGAGATCTTCCATTTGCAGCTTCAATCCCTAAATAGCTCCAACAGCCAGGTCTGGGCCAGGCCAAAGCCAGGAGCCAAAAG